TGATTATGTATATTGATATTCGCCTTATAGGCCAAAACCCGTAGAAATTTATGTTGGACAGACTCAATCCTTTTTATATGGACTGTGGGTCCCTAATAATAGACGCAAATGAGAGCTTATTATGTACAAACGCATAATATAGTGATACAGGGTAGCAGGGTTAAAGTGTCCAAAGTGTCTCCTAATAAAGCCAAGCATCTTATTGGTATTGTTAATGGTTTTATTTATGCCGTTATTAAAGCTCCATTTCGTATCAAGTGTAACACCCAGGTCCCGTATAGTGCTCACCCAATTAATATTAACATCATCTATCTGATACACATACTGTAATACGTTCCTTTTTTTGGTAAAGCTAATTGAGAAAGACTTATTAATATTGAGTGGCCGATCAGTTCTCTGACAATAATTATTGAGTCTGATGATATCGCATTGTATCTTGTTTTCAACTATACGGTACATCTTTAAATCGTCTGCGTAAAGAAGGAATTGACAATGGTTGAAACATTGAGCGATATCGTTAATATAGGTTAGGAAGAACAGAGGACCTAGGTGGCTACCCTGAGGGACTCCCGACGTCGGAGTAACAATTTTCGAGTTATACCCGTTTATACACACAAAGAACTCCCTATCACGCAAATAAGATGGAACCCACTTTACAAGGGTGCTACGAACACCAACGTCAGCAAGGTTTCTTAATAGCAAATTATGATTAACTCGATCGAAAGCTTTGCTGAAGTCAGTATAAATAGCATCGACTTGGACATTCCTGTCCAAAGCATCAGAAACCAAATCAGAAAAACAAAGCAAATTGGTATCCAAGCATCTTTTCGTAAAAAATCCATGCTGTTCCCGAATAACTATATTTTTAACGTCAAAAAGTATTTCGCTACAAATTAGCTTTTCGAAGATCTTCGAGAATATGCACAGCTTGCTAATAGGCCTGTAGTTGTCTACTATGTACCTGTTTCCACTTTTACAGATTGGCGTAACGGATGATTTCTTCCAAGCATCGGGAAATGTGTTATATTCTAAGGAGGTGTTGTAAATTAAGGTAAGTGGCTTATACAAATTCGTTTTACAGTTTTTGATTAATAATGGAGATATATTGTCAATTCCTGCAGATTTCTTGATATCTAGAGAGTCAATAATTTCAAGTACATCATTTTCATGAATAGTTTTTATGCCTTTAAGTATTCCTTCACCTACAGGACTTTCGGAAACATTATTTGTGCAAAAGACGCTACCGAAGTACGCGGCAAGTAAATTAGAGGCTTGTCCGTAAAATAAGATCCACGGGCTGCCGCTGGCGCTAGGATCGTTTCTATGCACAGCCAGGTAACAGAGGCAGATTGTTTGGTTCCCTCACTCCAATCCCTCACCAAGTCAGCGTCGCTGCGACGTTTAGTCTTGGCTCAGCAGCCGTCAGCGATGGAGCTTCCTCTTGCGTCTCCCGCCAGCTGCGAGTTGCGGTCTGTTATTCGTTTCCTGGCCGCTAAGAAGAAATCGGCGAAGGAAATTCACGAAGAACTTTGTCAAGGGTATGGAGAAGACTGTATGAGCTGCGGGATGGTGCGCAGATGGGTCAGGGACTTTAAAAATGGCCGAACAGACGTCCACGACGAAGCCCGTGCAGGGCGGCCATCGGTTTCCGACGAAACAATTGCCAAAGTCAAAGCGGCAATGCTTGAAGATCGACGGATTACAGTTCGGGAGCTGTGCACAAAGATTCCGGAGGTCAGCAAAACCACAATTGACAAGATTTTGACTGAACATTTAGGCTATTCAAAGGTCTGCGCAAGATGGGTACCAAGAATGCTCACTGCAGACCACCGGCGGCAGCGGGTTGAAGCGGCCCAAGAATTTCTCGCTTTTCACGGAACAACCGAAGAGGAATTTCTGGACTCTATTGTTACTGGTGACGAGACCTGGGTACACTACACCACACCGGAAACAAAGGAGCAATCGAAGCAGTGGAAGCACTCTTCTTCACCAAGAGCAAAGAAGTTCAAACAAATCCTGTCTGCCGGGAAAATCATGGCTAGCGTTTTTTGGGATCGAAAGGGCGTATTGTTGTGCGAGTTTATGCCTCGCGGGACAACAATCAATGCTGACCGGTACTGTGAGACCTTAAAAAAACTTAGACGTGCCATTCAGAACAAGAGAAGAGGAATGCTGACGAAAGGAGTGCGTTTTCACCATGACAATGCCCGACCACACACCGCCAATCGAACCACAGCCCTCATCGAAAGATTTGGATGGAAAATGGTGTCTCACCCACCCTACAGCCCAGACTTAGCACCAAGTGACTTCCATCTCTTCCCTGAGTTGAAGAAAAACCTTGGCGGAACCCAATTCCAGACAGATGAAGAGGTGCAAAACGCGGTTGTTAGTTTTCTACACGGACAGGCGGCAGAGTTCTATGACTCTGGTTTGAAGAAGTGGGTGCCTCGAATGCAGAGATGCATAGAACGCAACGGCGATTATGTAGAAAAATAAAAGAAAGACTGAACTTTCCAAAAATGTATTTTCTTTGCAATTAAACCAATTTCTTGATATGAAAAAAATTTGTGGAACTTATTTTACGGACACGCCTCTACATATTTCAATTGGCTGATTAGCACTTTTGTTTTTGTATGTTACTTCCTGGGGGATGCTTGCAGCTGAATTTCTACTGTTTGCGATAAATTTCCAAAATCTCTTTGAGTCGACTTGGATTTCATCCTCTGTATTTGTTGCATAGTTTTGAAAATCTTTGGCTATCAACTGCTTGGTTTTTTTCCTCAATGCGGAGTATTGAGCTGTTGAACAAATGAATACTGTTGATCAGAATAGATAATGCGTTTCATCAACTTCAAGCCACAAAAAATTTTGCGGAAATACGTTTTTCTTTATTAAAAAGATACCGCGCTTGTATCCATCAGAATGGTGGCCTTTCTGGACATTTATTGAAATAAAACTTTGATTATCTAGTTTGTTTTTTTTTACGAAAACAATGCTCTCTAGGAAAAAACGCAAAGTCATTATTTGTAGCAAATTCAAGGTGAAATTCGAAAAACTGCGCGCTTCGAAAAAAAAACAATGGCGTACTATTTTTATTCGGAAAAATAGTGGCACCAATCCCCTATATCTCCGTCACTGGTACACGTTAGATTTAAATGAAGACTTTTGAATATGGACAATACTTAGGTAAATCTACACACCAAAGTTTTAGTTCACCTCGTTTGACGGTTTTGAAGATATTAAGAAAATTGTTTTTCTTTTCATTTTTGAACTTCAACACTCCGTATCTTTTTAATGAAGCGCTCGAGAATAAAATGTTACATAGAGGGCCCTCTTAAAATGCGGTTCTATGTATGATGTTGCATTTTAAATCACGAGTTGTGAATCACCCTGTATAGTAATTTGGAGCCCAAAAGAATTATTAAACAGTATTATTTAGCTAGCAGTTTATTCAATATATTTGGTAGACATATCTTCTCTGTTGACTGGTAAATCAAATTAATTTAGAAGGAAGGTCGTACTCCTGACTTGAGATATTCAAAGATATTAAAATGTGTCGCTTACTCAAAAATATTGATTAAGCAGCTAGCATGAGAAGTGAAATTATGGGATAATATCACATAAAACAATATGTTCATAGTAGAATGACAATAAGAAAACATCATATTTCATTACAAAAAGCAGTTACTAAAAAAACAGTTTTTCTATAGACTACATCATAAGGTTAGTAAATAATTGTACACAGATCAGGAGAATGTTATTAAGAATAACAATATTCTTCCAGACCTTCATCAAAAGCGATGAGTTGGTTATACTTTGTTTGTAAGCATTCCACTACGACGTTAGATGCTTCCTAAAATATTTTATACACTGAGAAAACATATTCATTTAAGCAGTTGTTTTCGAAAATTTTCATTACCCGTAATAACTTTTTTAATCATCCTAGGTAACTTGAGTATTCGGTTTAATCAAACTGAATTATCTGGAACCAGTTTTACTGAAAGTAATAATACACTATTAAACTAATTTTCTTGCAAATAGCGAATCATGTACTTGTTTAATTAGTTTAGGTAATTTAGTTTCTGTAGAAAAGGTACATTTAGAACAAACATTTTGATAAAGGTAGTCAAACGGTTTATTTGAATCGCGGGCTCGACAAGACTCTACCCGACACTCGTGAATGATCAGGGTGAATACGACAGATGCAGTGCCGGTGACGCGCATCCAGCTCCTCAGTTCCCTTTGTGATTTTCGCGAGGAGTCTCATATTCGAATGTTGCGTTGTTGGTGCAGTAGCTGTGAAGTGGATCAATAGACGTGCTCAAGCCTTAGGCGATTAGTGATCCATAACCAAAGATAGAATATCCCTCGCTCCCAGTGAAACCCTCTGTATGGGGAAGCCACTGCTGGCGTGTCGGAATGGGAAGAACTTAGAAATTTAATTTATGCAGCCATATTTAGGATAACTGCTGACATTTATCCTACCAAACTTGTACCTGACATAGGATTGACGTGCTTTTGTGTTCTGTAGGAAGCATCGAGATATAATAAAAGAGGAGACGAAATCACGTGACTTTGAGCGACACCGGGTACGCCCTATTGATGACTGACTTCTGTCAAAGTTATGTCAAAGTGCGTTATGCGAGTTGTTTTGGATTTCGTAACAGTAAATTGTACTTATTTTTGAAATTCAGAAGCTTTTGCACAAATTGAAGAATATTATTATGGTGTCTTGTGCTCTACGGAGTTATGCAAGTCGGACTGAAGTGGATAAAAAGAATACAACAGGACAAACTTTCCATAAGAGTATAAACATATTACAGAGACGTACCTAGGTATATATATTTTATTTCGGCTTTATTGTTTATTATATAAAATCGTGTTTGCCAAAATTATTATGCTTATTATTAGTACCTCTCAGTGAAGCTGACCTAACTAACCAAACTACCCGTAATATATCTAATTTATCGAAAAAATATAAATACTAATTAATCAATTAAATTATGAACTGCAGGTCATGTATTATTTTCGTAAAATGCATGTCAAGGTGCTTAGTTTTCTTAAAGAAACCTTACTTTCATGAGTTGAGCCATCTAATATTTGTATTTTGAATATATTGTAGATTCCCTAAAGCGCTGACCGTTGCCAACTTTGGGTGAAATTTGTTAATAGAGGTGAATGGACACCTACAAGATCTAGTGTTATTTGCTCGAAATATTTTTCTAAGGAGTCATTCGATAGAACATCAAAATGTTATGTTAATCTCAAACCAAATGCTGTTCCGACAATACATCCAAACCAGGTAGGTATGTTAATAAAATCATGTTTGTTTCCTAAAATGTTCTGTATACTTAATTCAAAACAGTCATTATGTTTTTTGTCCTTTTTGTAGTTTTCCTTGATATAATGTCATATTAAATGCATGTTTTAATGTAAATTCTAGGTTTCATAAATGTCTAGAAGTAATGAGCGGTAATGTTTTATTTTAGGAAGAATCACCACCTGCCAAGAGAGTAGTACTACCAAATACAGTATTAAGACCTAATTTCGACTCATCCCTTCTACAGAAATAAGTAGTTAGTATGACATCATAGCAACAAGCTTGTATTATTTAGAGGGCAGTAATCAATTAACCTGTAATCTATGTATTTATGTAATAAAGATTATTTCCAAACCAGATTTTTATTTATGTAGGCACGCAAAAACTAAATTACTTAAAAATACTTGGATAATAAACATGTATCTAATAGATTTTATTATATTTTCAACAACAAAAAAATGTAATTTCGTCCCGGTCTGCTGCATTCAATTTTCACGTGCCAAAAGTCGAGAAGTACGATTGGTAATATTTGAAATAAATGACACTGGATTATTGTTCAGTACCACTTAAAACATATGTTTACCTAGTTTGGTTTTCAAAAGATGCGATGTATGAATCTTGAGAAAGAAATGCCAGAAGAAAAAATATTTAATAGAACTCGTAGTTAATCAGGAAACCTATTGCACTTCTAAAAATTTGACTCCAACTGATAGTATACTATCACAACTAAATTTGGTAAACATATGTTTTAGGTGGTCCTGAATAATAAACCGGTGTAATTTTTTTCAAATATTGCTTATAGTAATTCTCGATTCTTCGCTCTTAAAACTTGAATACAGTATTGGATCGTGTCTTACATTTTCTGAATATCCGCAAACTGACATTTTTGACCATCCAACAAAAAAAAGTTTATGAAAATTGGCCAAAAAACACAAATGTTGAAGTAAGTGGACACACTGTATGTTAAATAGATAATAAGAATATATTATATAATAAGAAATAGCAGGTCACCTCGTTTTAATAGTTCATCAATTTTAAATAAGATAGTGTACTCGATCTAAGTAAACGGTTTAGCAAATTTAATTAAACGACTGCGTTTTGGATACATTAAGCTAGGTTTATAGAGTCAAACTGTTCTAGACATTGAAGTTTACTTAAATTCACTTGTTGATTAAATTTTTTACTTGGCCTAATTAAAATTTTAATCGTTCCATTTAAAGTTTTTCTCAGTGTGTATTATCAATATAAAAAATAGAAAAGTAGAAGGAACTTGTTATATTTTATATAGATATCATCAAAAACGTAACTAGTTACAAATTAATAACTGAAAACCGGTACACGTAATAATTTCATAAACATAAGGCTGCAGGTTGGTTCACATATTCCAAATTTGTTTAAAGTACCTTTTTGATCTGGTTCCGAGTGATTTCATTACAAGGATTCAGTTGCTCTGACTACAACTATAGTACATGCACTTAAATGCTTTTTCTATACCGAAGCAGTCACCAAGGCAAAAGCATGCAAGCGGCAGGAGCTTGGGGAAACTGTTTTAGTCCGATTTTTCAGCTGCCTAAAGTTAGTACAACTGAGAAACCTAGGCACAAAGGAGCGGTTGCATCGGTCAGTTTTCGATGTACGAAGTTTGACTCTGTAAAGATAGAAGGCCGAAGTTAGGCGGGTTTATCTGGCAGGAGCATCGCGCGGCGGTATCATGGAGGAGAGCTCTGAGGAGCAAAGCCCGTTGACATAGCGGTCGAAGACAAACACCCAGAAGAAATAATTTCTTCTACTTGTTTTTTTGACAATGAGGTAGTCTTCCATCAAGAATGAAACGATAACATTCTTACGAAATTTTATTGACAAGTAATAAGAAAAAAGATAATACGTCTGGTTGTGGCACCTCATTTCAAGCAACTCAAACTTCGGATGGTGCAAAGTGAATAGTCTCCTCCCCAGCATATCTAACACATTCGATGGGATTTAAATGTGGTAAAACATTAACGACCGCTTCTTGAAGAAAGACCGTAGGGTCAGCTGCCTGAAGCGAATATCTTGAAGCTCTGTGGTACGCTCCGGTGGAGCAGTTGGCCTTTTCCGTATTCATCTACCTTTTTCTATCCACACACGACACACAAGGTTTACCGTCATTGCAATACAATTAACACGGCGGCCAACTTAGCGATAGGACAAAACAACATCTCGATAGGCAATCATTCTACCCCTTTCAAAGTCGCTAACAGGGTGATAATTTGGACGTCTTCAAGCCCGAGGCACCTTGTTATGCTTAACACTAGTACATGAAAGGGCAATAACTAAAAATATCTGTACTGCTCAGCTCTCAGAAGCCGCTTCAGCCACAAAAACTACGAGATAACATTTTAACAATGATAAACAAAAACAAAGTTAAAACGTTGACATTATTGCTACAGCATGCTTCAAATATAGTCATTGCGTTGCAAAAAAGTAGCAAGTTGAAGAAACAATTTTTTTCTGGGTGCAACACTTCTAGTGTTACTGAGTATATTTTCCTAACTTGTATTACTTTATGAAGAAGTATTCAATGTTAAGTTATTAGAATACCTACTTGTTGTTTCTGTACATGTTCATAAAGTAAAATATGACGTGTATATGCAAATCATCATCATAACACGAGGAGGAAAATAATATATAAACAGGGTGACTTCGAAGTTGAGTCATTTATTTTAACAGTGAGTAGATCTGATCAAAAGAAATGTTTTTTCCTTTACCATTTTTCTGGTAAAATTAAAGTAACAAAGTTATAGCCCTTTGGAAGTTTGAGTACCGCCCTGTCTCAATACTAATATCATGTGCTCGTGTTTGGCAACAACGGATATAATCCACCTTATCGGTTCATCGCATCGGAAATAAAAAAGCGAAAGAATTTGGAACGATGTTTTTACAATTATTTTATTCAGTTCAGTTATACATACAGTCAGTGTCAGTCGCGTGTGAATAGTGTCTGTTGCGTGGCTCAAACGAAATAAAAAATGGCACATGTTTATGCGGATCGGTTTCCCAATCGAGTGCAACCAACCCCTCGTGCCTTTGTTAATGTAGTACAACGGGCTCGTGAATCAAGTGACTTAAGACCTCACAGGGGACCTCACGATCAAATACAGGTCCGCACTGAAATACTTGTCGGGAGGATACTTTATAAAACAAGGTAAATTTTTTTTTATTTTTTTTTATTTTTACACACATATTTTGGTTTATCTTCCTTCTACAATCATTATCTGAAAATTAATGACTCAACTTCAAAGTAATATAAATAATATAGCCTCACATATTGGATACATCAGCACTCAACAGCTTTTCGTGAAACAATATACGTTTATGAAAAATCCACTGTTTATGAATATATTTAAATATTTTACTCAAAATTACATGAAAATATTTTAGTCTTAGACATGTTTTACTTAGAAATAATATATAAAATATATAAATAAAAAAATAAATATCGTTATTATTACTTAAATGATTAACATACAGCAAAGACTTTAATTGCGATCACATACACCTATCAAATTAGGTAGGCCCTTTATTGTAAAGTACTATAACCTAGGGACACCTATAAAAAACTACGTAATACTACCATTTTTACAAAATTGTATTCTATCAGTCTATGTGACACAGAAGTCAAAATTTCACACTCAGATGTTCAGGGCCGGATTCAGCTTTTTGTTACCTATTTTATTTGTTTGTATTTCTTTACGTACAATGCCCTGTAAACTATATTCTGAATAAAGTGTTATTTCGCAAAAAAATGACATCAAATGAAAAAATAAAAAGGCAAAGTCAGTATTATGAACACTAGCTATTATGTCTCCGCCTCTTCTAGAACAGGTGTAGTTCCCCGTTTCAAGGCCAAACCGACGAGTTCAGAGCTGGCATGCAGCGAAGAAAAGCGGCAACCGCCATCTCCACCTTACTCCTCCCCGGCAGCTGGCCTGAAAACTCTCACTTCTTGTTATCGTGCCACGAGGTACACTTCGAGTTACTCGAGTTCGCGTACCGATTTTTGCGTTGCCTGACGTGACGTTTGGGATAACTGGACTATTTTACTTGAGCTAGCAACCTGGACCTAGCTTGTGATAGCCAACTCCATATCAAGGACGAACATAGACGTTTGGGATAACGTTGAAACATTAGACTTGGTTGCTTGGGATAGCAACGTGATCCTGTCTTGTGATAGTCAGCTCGACGCCAACGACGAATGAAGGCGTTTGGGATCACGACTCAACGCTGAACTCCGTAGCTTGTGATCGTAACTTGTACTTAGCTTGTGATGGCTAAGATCCTATTACAAATAGAAATACTGGAAGCGCATGGGGCAACGTAGCGACCCAGTATAGTCAACAATCTCATCCTATTTGCTTCTGATAGCAAATTACACCTGGTTTGTGATAACTTGGAACAGTACTGTAAGTAAGTACATGAAGGGTTAGGAAACCGTCAAGGTATCTTTTTTCCTTTTTAGGATTACAACTATGCACATGACAGGTTAGGGAACCGTCAATGTACTATTTTCCATTGATAACAGGTAGAAATTAGGTACATTTATGTTAGATTAGCATTATATTTTGCTTGTGAGAGCAAATTCGATCTGGGTTGTGATAGCCATCAAACAGGACTGTAACTAGGCGCATGATAGGTTATGGAACCACCAAAGTACTAATTTTCAGTAATAACGGAGATTAGGCGCTCTGGATTGTGAGGTCATAAAGCCCTTCTCATTCAATAGATAACGCATCACCATGATAATGTGTCGACCGTAGTGTAATGTTTACGCATTGTTCCAGGTCAGACATTTTGATGACGATAGATGAATAAATCCTATTCTAAGGTGAAACCTGCGGTAGAGTTCGCTATGATAGAAATTGTCACACGGAGGGATGCGCGCTTGGTCTCTGTATAGCAAGAGGTGAGTTGTTCATTGGTCTTGGAAGCTTCAGTATGGTAAG